CCTAATGGAACCCCCCAGTCATCCGCGCTCGCCCCCTCCCATCCCCAGCGCTGTGCTCTCTGCACATGGCCCTTGCATTGTTTGGTGATTGCTACAGGAAGGCGAAAACAGAGGAGAGAGCCCACTGATGTTGGTTGGAGGCAGACCCCTCTCTCGCTCTGCCCCCGGGCCTTGTCCCCAACCTCCTTGTCCTCCTCCCAGCCGCGGCTCACTCCCAGCATTTTTTTTCACCCGCTTACTTGCAGTTAGGGGCGTTGTTTTTAGCTTCCATCCTGGCTCTGGCGTCTTCTAACTGGAGGTTTCTAAAGTCCTCCAACCCCATTATTGGTTACCACTGAGGACATATGAAGTCAAGTAGCTTGGCTTGGTGGCAGCTTCCTGTAATCCCACTTACTCAGGGAGGGAGAAAGAAAGTTCAAAGCCAGACTGGACAACCTAGTGAAACCCTGCCTCAAAATGAAGAGGAAAGAGCCTTTGAGATGGCTCAGAGGAGAAAGGCTCTTGCTACCCAAACTGATGAACTGAGTTCAATTCCCAGGACCCACATAGTGGAAGGACAGAGTCAACTCCTGCAGTGTTCTTTGACCTCTCATGTACTGTTCACACATAAATAAATATGACACACAATTATATATATGTATGTATGTATGTATGTATGTATAGTATGTATGTATATATGTACATGCACACATGTATATATGCATACCTACTTAGTGTGTGTATGTGTTAAGAAGTGCTCAGTGGTTAAGAGCACTCTTGCAGAGGACTATGGCTTGTCTCCTAGCTCACAACTGTCTGTAAATCCAGTTGGGGGAGATATCTGACTCCCTGTGGTCTCCAAGGGCACACACACATTAAATAAAACTTTTTTAAAGTTTATGGGAGGCTGATATAGCTCAGTTGGTAGAGTGTTTACCTAGCAGACACTAAGCAGTGGGCTCCTTCCGCAGCCCAGAGCGTGATGGCAGCTTTGTTGGAGGCCTTAGGATCTGTGGGTCAAGGTCATCCTCAACTACATAATATAGTTCCAGAGAAGTCTAAGCTACATGAGATCAGGTCCCAAAAATAAGTTTTGGGAATTTTTGTTTGTTTGTTTGTTCTTGTTTTTCAAGACAGAGTTTTTGCCCTGTGAACCAGGCTGGCCTCAAACTCACAGAGATCCACCTGCCTCTGCCTCCCAAGTGCTGGGACTAAAGGCATGCACCACTCCCAACAGGCTTTTGGAGCACCTGTCTGGAATTCATCAGTGATGGGCAGGAGGAGTGTCTTTCCAGGAAGCCATTTTCTAGCATTATTGACTTTTGTCCTTTCTAAGAGACATCCATCTCTGACGTGGCCCAGAGTGAACACTGAGTGCTCTAAGCTCCCCCTAATTTAGATATGATTAAATAGGGCCACTAGTGAGCTCACAAGGTGAGACCCACCACCTTCACCTTCTCCCAGATGCAAGGGTGAGGAGGAGGGCTCAGGATGCCCCAGCTAGTTGTGGGCATGGACTTCACTGGGTCATCAATCTGACATCTGCGAAGTGGATTGTATTCTCCTCTGCAACCAAGGGGGTGAGCCAGCTGCACCTGTTTGGCCATGTACCCAGTAGAGGAACCAAATAAAAGCACCTTTTTTTGTGTTTTAGTTTTTTTTTTTGTTTTTTTGGTTTTTTTTTTGAGTCAGGGTTTCACTAAGAAGCCTTGGCTGTCCTGGAATTCACTATGTAGACCACCAAGCTGGTCTTGAACTCTCAGAGGTCTGCCTGCCTCTGCCACCCAAATTCTGGGATTAAAGATGTAAGGCATCATACCCAGCTTTCTTTCCTTTTCTCTTTTCGTTCTTTTGAGACTGGGTCTTACTAAATTGTCCAGACTGGCTTTGGACTCATGCTGTAGCCCAGGCAGGCCCCCAACTTTCTATCCTCCTGTCTCAGCCTCCAGAGTAGCTGAGGTTACAGGCCTGTGCCATCACAGAGGATTCTAGAAGCTGTGTCACGTTTTTATTCTGCCACAAGGTCTCACTGAACCCAGCCCTCCTAGAGGCACCTTCTCTAAGCCTTGCAAAGACAGCAGGCTGTTCTTCGCTCTAGGTTGTTCTAGAAATGCTAAGGGCCCCATTGCTCTACTCTTCCATGCCCCGCCAGCATTTTGCTTGTTTGATTTGGTTTGTTTGATAACTAACAACCTTAGTTATCCTCCAGCCTCATGAAGGTGCTAGGGTTTAGGAACGTGAGCCACCTGTGAGCCACCATTCCCACCTTGAACAGGCTGCAATTCAGCCTGCCCCTCAGTGTCCTGTGACTGGCAGGGTGACTTTATTTGAGCAACAGGAGGTGGGTATGGGTGTGGATGTCCCAGCAAGCCAGAGCCATTGGCTGCTTTGTGCTAGGCTCTATGCTGTGATGATTCTGCCACTGTCCTTCCCCTTCCTGTCCTGGGAGAGTGTGTCTTGGTGGATGGGATCTGGAACAAGGCTGGGAAGAGGGTTGCAATCAGTCTTGGGACCAACCCCAGAATCCACACCTTTTCCCCCTCACCATACTGTCCGCAGGTCCAAGCTAATTTCCCCTTCTCTCTCTCCCCAGAGACAAGAAGAGCAGCATCGACACCGCCCCTCACCCTGGAGGGTCATGTACAATCTCTTCATGGGACTCCTCCCCTTACCCAGGGATCCTGGAGCCCCCGAAATGGAGCCCAACTAGGTGCCTACACCCGCCCGGGGGACGTCAGGGACTTGGGGGGCAGGACCCCCTCCGCCTTCTGACACCCTGGCCAGCGCGGGGGACTTTTTCTGCACCATGTAGCATACTGGACTGCCAGCCTTGCCTGTCCCAGGGACGCGCAAGGGAAGCCACTCGAGCCCAGGCAGCCTGGGTGCACTGATGGAGACTTAGGGGACCCTGGCCTCCTGAAAGCCAGGGGAGGGAGGGCTGACGGACTCATGGTGACCTAGGGGGTGGGGACCGAGCCGCCTGCCTCTGCCGCCCACCACCATCTCAGGAAAGGCTGCTGGTGCTGGCTGCCCGTTCCAGCTGCAGGGGGGACCCTTGGGGTGTCCCCAGTGCGCCTTCACTTTGGGCCTGGCCTCAGGCCCCTGGTGCTTCCCCCCCTCCTCTTGCGGAGGGGGCCTGTGAAGAGCATATGAGCCAAACCTGACCACTAGCCTCCTGGAGCCAGAGAATGGGGGGCATGTGACAGCCTTCTCAACCCAGTGCCCAGCCATCTTCCCTGAACCGCCGGCGGGCGGTGACCGATGCCTGCCTCACCTTCATCTGGGGGTGTCCAGGAGGGGTCCAGACTGTGAATCCTGTGCTCTACCCGGGACCACCCCCCCCAGTCCCCATCCATCCCATTGCATAGGTTTAGAGAGAGCACGTGTGACCACTGGCATTCATTTGGGGGGTGGGAGATAGTGGCGGAAGCCACCTCAGCCTTAGTCCCCAGGGCAAAGCGCTGGGGGGGAAGATGGGGAGTCAGGGAGGGGGGAAATCTCAGAAGAGGGAGGAGTCTGGGAGCGGGGAGGGACGGCCCAGCTTGTAAAATACTGTACATGCACTGCTGTAGATATACCGGAATGGATTTTCTGTACATGTTTGGTTAATTTTTTTTGTACATGATTTTTGTATGTTTCCTTTTCAATAAAATCAGATTGAACAGTGGAGACTTTTTTTTTTGCTAGTCTTACCTGTGAGGATACAAAAGAGATAGGAGACTCTTGAGCTCTTCAGGGGTACTCATACTAAAAAGCAAGCTGGTAGCTACTTAAAAGGCCTGAGCAACTGAGAGATAACAAGTCTTAAAAAATGTAATGGGAGTCAGGCAGTGGTGGTACACAACTTTAATCCCAGCCCTCGGAAGGCAGAGGCAGGTGGATCTCTGAGTTTGAGGCCAGCCTGGTCTACAGAGTGAGTTCCAGGACAACCAGGACTGTTCAATAGAGAAACCCTGTCTTGAAAAACCAAAAAAAGTAATGGGGAGGGGAGGGGCAGCTGGAGAGATGGCCCAGCAGTTAAGAGCACTGACTGCTCTTCAAGAGGATCTGCATTCAGTTTGCAGCACCCACACGACAGCTCACCACGATCTGTAACTCAAGTTCCAAGAGAGCTCTGACATCTAGCCCTGTGGATACTTGGCACGCACACAGTGCACATTACCTGCAGACTAAACACCCATAGACAAAGTTTAGAAAGTAGTAGGAAGGCTGCGGCGTGGCTCAGTGGTAAAGCCCCTGCCTAGAATCCCTAGTGAGGGGCTGGGGCGCTGACTCAACAGTGCACAAACATCTGGGTTCAATTACCCATACCAAGAAAAAGAAAGGCAGGTTGAGAGAGGCAGACAAGTTGTAGCTACAGAGCTGTAGCCTTAAAAGGGTAATAAGGGTAAGCTCCAGCCAGCTGGGCGGTTGTGGTGGTGCACACACCTTTAATCCCAGCATCTGGGAGGCAGAGGCAGGTGGATATCTATCTTAGTTTGAGGTCAGCCTGGTCTACAAAGTGAATTACAGGACAGCCAGGGCTACACAGAGAAACACTGACTCTAAAAAAAGACAGAAAGAAAATAGAGCAAGATCCTTGAGGGCAAAGGGTCTAATGCTCTATCCTTATTTATTGCACCAGGTGAATGATGTAGTTGGTCTTGAGATTTACTCCATGAATGAATGAATGGCCTATAATTTAGAAGTCTCTGTTTCAAGAGCTGGGGCTCATAGGTTAGGAGACAGTCCCTATCTGTCCTGGACAAAGTGGGAATAAACTTCCTGTGGGGCTGGGAGTGACCTTGATTTTAGCTTGCACCACTGCCCTAAGGCCAAGCACGCTGCCCGAGTTGTCTGGGAGCCCTCTCCTGTTTCAGCAGATGTGCAATGCATAACGTTGCTGAACGGGGCTGCTGGCACAGTCCCTTTCTGGTGGCCAAGGACAGTAAAGGAAATTCGCAGAAAATGGATCTCCTAGGGGGCTGTGGACACAGGAGGGGGTCTGAGGAAACCACAAAAGCCCTGAGTCTGATCTAGTCACACAAGAGAATAATCCCACATTTCAAGAATGTTCAACCGTCTGAACATGTTCAGCAGATAAAGAAACTTGCCACCAGGCTCGCTGACCTGAGTCCAGCCCCTGATCCGTACGGTGGAAAGAGAACCAATGTCCACAAGTTGTCCTCTGACCTTCACAAGAGCACTGTGCCTTTAAAACTTTTTTTTTTTTTTTAAATTTCCAATTTCCAAGACAGGGTTTCTCTATGGAGTCGTGGCTGTCCTGGAACTCACTCTGTAGATGAGGCTGTCCTGGAACTCAGAGATTCGCCCGCCTCTGCCTCCCGACTAAAGGAGTACACCATCACCGCCTCATGTTGGTTCAATTTTTAACCACCACACTTGACATCCCTTACAGACACAGGTCTGTTAAGTTTTTTATTTATAGTTTTAGTTTGAGATAGGGTTTCTTTGTATAACCTGGCTATCCTGGAACTCACTCTGTAGACCAGACTGGCCTCGAACTCACAGAGATTCGTCTGCCTCTGCCTTTTGAGTACTGGGATTAAAGACATGTTCCAGGCCAGGCTCTAAAGCTACAGAGAGAAACCCTGTCTTAAAAAACAAAACAAAACAAAGAGTAGTTCTTGTTCTTGGGTTCAGTTGGCAGCTCACAACCAGGGGATCAGACTTCCGACCTCTGCACACTGTACACACGATACACAGACAAACCTGTAGGCATCACATTCAGACACACAAAAATGAATCTTTTTTTTTTTTCCCCCTGAGACAGGGTTTCTCTGTAGTTTTTGGTGTCTGTCCTGGAACTAGCTCTTGTAGACCAAGCTGGCTTCGAACTCAGAGAAATCCACCTGCCTTACTGCTGGGTAAACAAGATCAGCCCTGGTTGAGCCTAACTGTGTGGTCCTAGGTCCTAGCAAGACACCCTATCTAAAAAAAAAAAAAAAAAAAAAGAAAGAAAAAAAAAAAAGAGCAAGAGTCCAACATGGTAACATTTTTTGTTGTTGTTTGGTCCCCCCACCCCTCCAGGAACTCACTTTGTAGACGGACTGGCCTCGAACTCAGAGATCTGTGTGCCTCTGCCTCCTGAGTGCTGGGACTAAAGGCATGTGCCACCACTACCTAGCAGTAATGCACTTCTTTATTGCAGCCCTAGGGAGGCAGAGGCAAGCAGATCTCTGTGAGTTCAAGACCAACCTGGGAACACAGTGGGCTTCAGGCCAGCTGGGGTTGTGTAGTGATGCTGTCACAAACACACACTCTCCAAGACAAGGTAGTGGCTGATATAAACCCAAATACCTGATGATGATCTCTGGATCCCCAAACTGTCTCCTGACCTGCAGAAATATGACATGCTATGTGCATGCTCTACCACTGTCCTATTTCTCCTATGAAAGCATAAAAATAGATGATCCTACTTGAGGAATGACACACAAAGGCAACCTCGGGCCCCCACACATGCACATACACAAACAGGCTGACACACCTTCACATACACACACATAACAGGCTGACACACCTTTACACACATGCGCGCACACACACACACACACACGAACAGGCTGACACACCTTCACACACACACACACACACGAACAGGCTGACACACCTTCACACACATGGCATTTCACAAGTTGCTGGACTGCTATTTTTCCTTCTCTGAGGCTCCAATTGCATGCACTTAAGATGTTTGGGCACTGAGAATTAAGCCCCTGGCCTTGTGCACCAGTTTGCTTCCTTGAATGGTGTTTCACAAGCTGTTAGGTTCTTTTTCACACTTGTGTGTGAACAACTTGTAGGATTCAGTTTCTGTGCTCTGCCATGTGGCCATGGGGGAACAAATTCAGATCTTTAAGCTTGGCTGCAAGCCCCTTTACCAGTCAAGCCATTTTGCTAGTCCTTCTCATACTTTTTCTGGCTGCAGAATTTCAACTCAATGGTTCTCACCTCCATCCTGTTATGTCTACCGAGTACATTTTTTATTTTTATTTTTGGTTTTTTGACACAGGTTTCCCAGTAGCTATGAAGTCAATCCTGGAACTCGCTTTGTAGACCAGACTGGCGGGAACTCACAGAGATCCAACTCAACTGACAGGGACCCAATTCATCAGCTTGGCTGCGCATAACTTTACCTGTTGGCCTATCTTGCTGGCCCTAATTTTATTTTTTAAATGTACTCAAAACATATTTTGCCTATATGTCTGTCTGTACATCACATGCATGCCTGGTATTTGTATGTTAGGGCTCAGATCCTCTGGAACTGGCTGGAGTTACAGATGATTGCGAGCCACTATGTAGGTGCTGGAAAATCAAATCCAGGTCCTTAGCAAGAGCCAGTTTGTTAACTCCTGAGCCATTTCTCCAGCCCGATAATTAACATATTCTTAAACCCATCACGCAAAGTGAATGAGGCATAATAAGTCATTTGTCCATGGTCGAGTCGGGGTGAGTGGAACTTGGCTATCTAGACGGCTTCCCTCTCAACAGTTAGGAGGGTAACCTGGGTGGGGTGGGGGAAGTGTGTGCAGCTAATACATCCAGAAAGCATCTCATGTTTCTCTTCAAAATCCTGAGTTTAGCCCTGAGGACAGCTGTTGGACTTATGAACCCAACAGGCTGCCAGTGCCTGCCCGATGTAGCAGGTTTATTTTGATTATTCTTTGAGATGGGTTCTCACTATGTAGCCCAAGCTGACTTTGAACTCATGATCCTGATGTCTCGGGAGCTGCTAGAAATATAGGACTATACTAACACATGGGGCTTCCACCGAGAGTTTGAAGACAGAGCTTGTGAAATGACTTGGGAAGGTAAGGTGCTTGCTGCCAATCCTGATGATCTGAGTTAATTCCAGTACTCAAAAAGGGGAAGAGTTGACCCAACTGCCACTAGAAGGGGTGGCTCAGATAAAGGTGTGTCTTCCCACTTAAATGCTTCAATTAGGTAAAGTGCCCCACAAAGATACCCAGTTGCCTGGGTTTTAGTTAATTCTAGATGTACTCAAGTTGACAACTAAGAATAGTCAACTTGACACACAATTCTATCTCATGTCAGGTTTAACTTCCAAATGAAAACAATAACCAAGTCATAATTACACCTATCCTCCCAAACAACTGAAAAAGCATAAATCTTATGGCGTTTTTTGATACAGGGTCTCACTGTGTATTCCCGTCCTGGCTGTCCTGGCACTATGTATATCAGGCTGACCTCTAACTCAGAGGTCCACCTATCTACACAGATAGGTGCTGGGATTGAAGGTGTGTGCCACCATGCCCAGCTACATTATAAATTTTAGTTTGTCTGACCTCAGAAAGAGCACTGAGGCATGTGTGCCTACATACTTAACACTCAGAAAAATGCATAAAAAGTATCTTTAAAAAGTAGATAGCTAAGTCTGAGCATACAGGTGATAGTTTTTGCTTTATTATTTTTGTTTCTTTCGAGACAAGTTCTAAGTAATTGTCTTGGAACTCATGATTCTGCTTCCACTTTCCGGGTTCTGGGAGTAAAGGCACACACTATCATGTCCAGTCCTGTGGGTGTACACATTCTGGGCAGCTGACCCCCTCATTCCCGCTCCCATGCCTCCCATCATCAGATCTTCTGTCCCACGAGAGTTGTGCACCTTCCAGAGGTTCTAGAAGCCACCACTTTACTGAAAACCTTTCT